ATGTAGCATGTACAATGACATGTTTAAATGGGACTTAAGTCATAAGCCATGTCCGCTGTTCACCACATAAGTACAAACATTTAGGCAAACAAGTGGAACGCAAGCTTTGTTCTATAATTACTGACGAGTGTTGAGCAACACAAGCCAAACATTAGCTACTGTCTCAGTGTTGTTCTCTAGGACTGTCATTTAGAGGATCAGTACAAGAAAAAAGCGTATTAAACGCTGGATGCCTCCGCTTAGGAAGAGTGTAAATACCAAACAGTGTACTTCCCATCTGGTATTCGCGTTCACTGTAATCAGCCGACGGGCGCCCACTGTGGTTCAGGGGGCCAGCCTCTTATTTGGAAGACTAACCGAGGAAGTGATTTGAAGCTGTTTTGTCCGAGGGTTTTTCTACCTGTTCTCTGGCTGAGGCGCACACCCACAACCTGGGGCTATGACGATCGCTTTCTGGATCCTGCTTTTGTGAAGTACTTTTATTTTTATTTATTTTTATTATTTTGAGTCAGTCCTACTGAAAATAACAGAAAAAAACATGATTACCTGAGTCAAAACCTAACTAATAATATCTAGATTCTACTTATAAACAAGTGAACATTCAACCTCCAGGGACCCTGCGTCCTCACATTGCATTTATTCCTCTCTTTACTATTTTTCTTTTTTCTTTCGGCTTTGACCTTTTGGCATCATAGTAAACGCTATCAGACACTACTGTTTGAAATATAAAGTAAAATGGTTTTATACATTTTCAAACAATCATGTTCTGATTGTGTAATTAAAATGGAGTAAATAAGTCATTTGGACTGTCAGAACCAAATTACAAAAACAATTAATTAAATATATAAACAAACATTTTGAATATAAAGATAAACCCACTGAGCCTATATGAAGAAAAACTACTTGTACCTGACAAAGTCTAGTTATTAAACTTATTAGGTTCTACTAATTCCATAAATCTTGAAAAAAGCAAAACTGTACACCAATTAAAAGCTCGTGTCTCAGGAGGATAATTACTCCATCTCATGTTTCTTAAATTTAAATGGAATAAATTGGGATAAAACATATCAATAAGCTGATGGAAACGTGTGTTTTGAGCTCTTATTCATTTAGAATTCTTGCTAAAAATAATAAAGATAATAAAATATCCTGAGGATGATAATGTAATGTATTTCTATATGCACCTATAAAATTATTTATATGTCATGCTCCATTCCTGATTTACCAATGTAACCAAGTCTGTCCACATCAAAACTAGAGACGTTAGTGTCCGGCACCACAGCAGATTGTAACTGTTAGGCCATGTAGACATAAGCCAGATGTTAGTGGGCGTAAGTGGGTTTTATATCCAGTACGAATGGGGCTATATTTTTATGTTGTATATGGGAAGATTTTCAACTAACTAAAGCAAATCAGACGATACACGAGCATTTTTACCGATAGCCCCTTGTTGTGGTCTTCACCAGTCTTGAAATATAACTCCGAGTTCTCGAGCTTTGAGGCCGAGACAAGAGTGAATAAATATGTGGTGAATTTCCAGATGAGACCGTTTGCTCTTAAGGACAAGAATGATACTTGGTGATCTTTCTCCAGTCGGACAGGCTGTATTTTTGTTCAAAATGATACATGATATGCTGTAAAAAAGGGACATTTTTCCTGTTGTTTAGCTGCTTTGATGGGTGTTCCCCTCACCTGTGCTGGTGCATGACAATCCTTATTGAACCAGTGGTATCGTTAGTCAGATTTTAAATGTTCTTGTGAGTAACACGATCAGCCACTTTAAATCGTCAGGACTAATTCCTGTCATTCATATACTGTATATAGATTCTTATTAATACTTTTGTTGAAGTTCCCCTACATCACCCTCTCTATGTTCCACACTAAACAACTGGCATATGATAAAACCATGAGCTTAAGTTTGGAGTGCATGCAGTGGACACTTCCTGGATGGACCCCAAAACAAACAGGACCTCCTAAAGCTTGGCTCGGCCTCGGTGCTCCGGCTGATATGTCCGGGTCAGACCCCGCCGTCTGTGGGAGCCACTGTCCCTGTTGGCTGCCCCCTGACGAACCAGGACAGGTGGAGACAATTCTCTGGCTTCATCCCACCCACGCCGGCCCCCCCATCCCCCCTTCCCAACCCCCCCGCTGCCCCGCCCCAACGCCGTCCTGAAACCGGATCGGGGAAATCAAGTCATGCACCGCCATTCTTCATAACTTAGTGCAACCATTGCTTGACGCTTTGTTGCCTGGCAACCAAATGTTTTGAGTCGATTCCAGTGTGTGTGTGTGTGTGTGTGTGTGTGTGTGTGTGTGTGTGTGTGTG